CTGGGGGATTGAACCGCGGTCCCTGTGCTTTGCTAAGCTTGTTCTAAGTAGGTGCTTTAGACCACTGAGCCATCTCACCAGCCCCTATAGGTCAGTTTCTAATAGTAATTTTTTTGCATTATTTCTTGTTTAACTTTATCAATAAAATTACTGATGGAAAGTAGTCATTTCTTCCTAGAAACTATCGTATTATGATAAAAGCAGAGATACACATGATCTATTTGGGCTGGCTGGGAGAGCTTTAAGCTGCTGTTATTTCCAGTTGAACAACGATTGTTTTCACCTAATTCATTTAAGTAGCCCTTTCGTATTTGCTTTTGACAGGCACAAGGTAGAAATTCCATCATTGGAGAAAGATACAGATGGCCTCATACTATTCCTTATGTTCTAGAAGACAGCTTGGGTTAGTATGCACTGGGGAGTATCCCTAACTAATGTGTATTCCTCATCAAATATGGTGACATCTTATTCACACGGGTGGGCTGGTATGACATTTGAGTTTCTGTGTCTTTGTATCTTTGTGTGGCTATGCATATTTATGTTTTTTAAAAGAAGGGAAATGAATGACAAAAATACCCTAAATGACTCCACCAGAATGTTTGCTGTGCTTTGAAGTTTCATGAAATTTATCCAGAGACCACTTGGTCCTGGAAGCTAAGGGCATGAAGAATAGGAGCCACTCTTTGTTCTACAGCAGCAGTTTTCCATATGCCCAGATTTTACAAAGGAGTAAAATCATAAAATAATCAACCAAACAAATCTTTTGAGACCAGAATTATTTGTCAGGCCTTTATTTTACCAATCAGGAACTTGAGAACTCTTTGTGTTTTATCATTTTTTCTTAAAAGAAATGTTATTAGGGTTAAATTGCTAAAAATCCTGAAGAATATAATCCAAAACTACATACAGAATTTTGTATAAAAGAAATGTAATTGTGATAAAAAACTCTAAACATTATCCTCACTTTGTGGACTGGGGACTATGATGTTGCTGACTAATGTCAGTTTGGAAATTGCTGTTTGAAGAAAGTTTATTTAGGAAAAAAAAAAGGATGTTTCCTTAATGATCGAGCACTTTAGTGGAAATGCAGACGGGTCAGAATTTGATTTCAGTGGAATGGAACAGACATGATGATTAGTAGTGTGTTCACGGAGCTACGAGAGTGCGCTGGAGGGAGGGTTCATTCAACCCAGACCTGACTGCATGGGGCTAGGCTCTGGCAACTCTGGGCTCTGGTGACCTTGGGCTCCATCTGTCTAGTGACACTAGGCATCAGGGCCACTGGGAAGGCTGCACGAGTTGTACACCTATGGATCCCTGGGCTGGGACAAGTGGGGCTCCCCTCAGGCTTGTGCGCTGCTTATCAAGAGGTGAGTGTGCTTCTTTACCTGTGCCTGCTGTTCACTCCTGGCCAGCAAGGACACTGCCCACATGAGTGCCTCTTTCTAGTTGGCTTAGAGGGGTGGAGCAGCATCTGAGAGCAAGAGAAGTGTGGTGGAGTGGGTGGGCCCCAGTGTGCAAAGTCATGGAGAAGGGAGGTACTGAGACTGGGTGTGGGCAGCTAGTGACATTGTGCAGGAAAGAGGGACCCAGACTGGGAAGCACAGAGCTGCATGGCACAGCCAAGGAAAAGCAGGGAACCTCAGCAGAAGTCTGAGAAAGGTGCTCTTTGAAAATCAGGACTGCAGATGGTAGATGCTTCAGTGAACACCTCCGAGGTACGTACTTAACACACAGACCCCAGGAGCCCGGACTGCTTGCCCTGACTAATGGTGCCTTAGGTCACAACCCTACATTCACTTCTCAGGGCCAAAAGGGAGGTGCCACTATCTTAGCTAAAACAGAAAACCACCCTGGAGAGTCAGGCTTCTAACAATGAGATGATCACAGGGAAAGCTCCAGCACGTCTCAGGACTTTTCTTGGCGACAGAGCTGCATGGCTCATTGAAGGGCAAGCAATGGACCTCAGGAGACGTCTGAGAAGGGTGTTCTTTGCAAGTCAGTGTCTGCTCTTTGCAGACAGATAGACACTGCAGGAGACACCTGGGGCTGCATTCAGAGCAGGTGCCTCATACACAGACCGCAGGAGGCTGGACTCAGTACGCATACTGACGGCAACATGTAGCCACTGCAAGTCCCTTGTGGAAGTGAGTTATAAGAGCATTTACTAATTTGTAGTGATTTTTCTGATTGGAGTATAGAAAATCTGTTATTAGTAGGGCAAACAGATGGCAAGGAGTCCAGTTAGAAGACTACTGAAGAGGGCTGGGAATATAGCTCGTGGTAGCATGGTTGGCTAACACGCGCAAGGTCCTAGCTTTGATCCCAAGTACAAAAATGAGAAAAGATTGTTGAAATTAGGAAACGAATGAAGAGATTCTGGATCAGAACTCTTTTTTTTGGAGGAGTGGGGTTATACACAAGAGTGGATAAATCTGAAAGAGTTAGGAAGTGATCATTAGAAGATCTGATTTGCATTGGTGATACTGCTCTTGATCTTAGCCCAAAGGCCAAGAAGCGATATGATTTGAGTTACTGAGAAGGGAAGGTTGGCCAGCAGCATGGGAGAAAACTCAGAGTATGGCAGCTAAGACCAGGACAGGGATAATTTACAGGGTGAGAAGCTACAGGCATGAGGAGCTCTGGGAATATGAGGAAAGGAAGCTGTTTATTGACTTTTGGAATCAAAGCGAACCTGACAGACTTAAAAGAATTGCTTTTGGCTTTAGTCTTTTTTTAAAAAATTATTTATTTATTTATTTGTGTGTGTGTGTGTGTGTGTGTGTGTGTGTGTGTGTGTGTGGCCAGCTCAGCCCACCAGGGGGCGGGGCTGGCTGGCATGTGGTGCTGGGGGATTGAACCGCGGTCCCTGTGCTTTGCTAAGCTTGTTCTAAGTAGGTGCTTTAGACCACTGAGCCATCTCACCAGTCCCGACTTTAGTCTTTTGACTAAAACAGTTTAAAGTACTACTCTGCTACAAAGAAGAGCATACTGGAGTTACTGCGGGCACCGTGAGACCGTAATGTGAAGTGAAATAAATCAGACACACATGGTTTCTCTTATATGAGAAACCCTCAATATTAATCAAGACCACAGTGACAGATCAATAGCAGAAGTTGAAAAAAAATAGCAGAATTTGGAAGGCGTGCTTTCTCAGATGGGAGGGGAATCAAGAGGTGGAGGGGCAGGAAGAAAGATGAGTGGAGTTGAGCAAAGAATGAAGAGGCGCTACATACTCATGGCAGCCCCTCACAGGGCACGGGTGCTGCAAACACAGGCTAATTAAAAATTTTAAAGTGATTTCGTTTTTTGCATTTTTAAGTATTTCTTTTTTTAAAAGTGTATCCTCTGTTTTATGAAAAGTGAGTGAGCTTTAATATGACTGGACCTCTTAAGTTATTCTTGCTGTATATTTTTGCAAAGCTATCCTGGATTTATTTACCTATTTTTGGGTTTAATGAACAGACTCTTACTTTATGGCTTGATTGACTGATTTCAGTACTAAGGATTGGACTCAGAGCTTGGGCACGGCTAGGATAGCACTCTACCACTGAACAAAATTTACCTATTTTTAAGCAATATTATAAGCAGCACAGTAAATGTCTTGTGGAAAGGAACTGTTGCCTTGCAAATCTGAGCATTAGCTTGCTCTCTGGCATCTAGTATATACTTAAAAATAAATTGATAATCTTATAGGAGTGGAATGCAATAGTTTTAAAATAGCCTAGACCTTATCCAAAATGAGCCCATTTTCACAGTTATATTTTTGTTCTTTCTTTACTAATTGTATCTTTCTATACTATAGTCTTTACAATAGAATTAATCTTCAACATTTTGCAGATCAGTTTTTATTAACTATGTAATTTTGAATTTTTCTTAGTCAGAAAATACCTCTGTGTGACAGCATAGAAACGAATTTGTTTTCTGTGTTCGGAGCAGGTCAAATGTTTCCTCACACTTTGGAAACCTGTTCCATGTTCTGATGACTCAGAGGAAGGCTGCTTTGCCATGAAGCAGAAATGAATGCTTGTGGAGGGAATGATTTCTCGATGGTCCGCGCTCTTGATTCTGCTCGGTTTGCCTTGACGTTCTGTACTTTATGGCTTGATTGATTGATTGGCTGCAGGCCTTGTCTAGCAGGTGGTGGTAGCTCTCTCAGATCACATCCTGGTCCTCGCGTGAGTGCCAGACTGAGGTGAAGGAAGGAGAGAAGACGGGAGGAAAGGCTGGAGGTGGAGGCTTAGGAGCCCTAAGTAACTAAAGGGGAAATTAGGCAGCACAACTTCTCGCTGAGCTCCTGAGGACCTGCAGGGCCTTTCCCGCCCTTTGGGGCTCCTGACATGACTGCAGGTGGAGCATCTCTGAGCCATGTCGCAAAGTGAATGAAGGCCTATGGTCCTAAAGACTCCCGGAAAATGAATATTGCAGCAGTCGCTACCACTAACACCCTCACACGTGTTACCTCAATTGATTCTCAAAGTGATTTAAGACACCATGGGGATTCTCTTTGTTGAACTTTGACAAAACGCTCAGATCACCAACCGCATGTGCATTGTGTCCTAGTACAGTGAGGTGGTGACAGGTATCACCCTGAGCTATTTAAGGAGGTGTTAGATCTGAAATAGTGATACAAACTTGACATTTATGGCCTAGAACTTTTGAAACAATTTAAATATTTGGCAGCAAAGTTATGTAGGCATGTTACAGCCATTAATGCAGGCATCAAAATGGTGAAAACAATGGGGGAGAAAGATTTTAATGATATATTACTTATTAAAAACAGTTTATAAACTAGTGTGAAGGCTGTGACTACTTTGTTACTGTATATGTGTGTGTATTCGCAAGTGAAAAGTGTGGTGAGGCAGGTTGAACATCTTCAGTGATAAGATTCTAAATTTCCATCCTTTTATTCCTGTGCCTTTTCTAGGCTGTGTACGGAACATATACGTTATTTGTGTGGTGTTGTACCAGGTTGAACTCTAGGGGGTTCTTCTGATCCATGGATTTGGGGACCCTCGTTTTGTCTAGTTCTCTTCAGTCCTGCCAGGACAGAGGCATTCCATGTTGTGGGTTGCAAATGCCAGAGCAATGGGTGCTTCCCTGAGGAGAGAGACACGAGCATTTGACTTGGAACTTTGCTTTAGCTTCTTATCTTATCCTCACAACATCTCCACTGGTCTTATTCACTTGCGGAACTGATGTCACCACCACTATAAAGATTAAACTGGCCAAGGGTTTTGGGTCAAAAGTAAGATGGGACATAGGCAAGAAGCGAGCGTGGCTCTGAAGCCTGAGCACTCCTGCTCTGCCCTGCAGGGCCGCCATGGCCAGGCTGCCACCATCCTTTTCCTCTCTGGTCCCTGATCCCATCTGCACCCACTGTGCATCTGATAGAGCTCCTTCTTCCGGCTTACCTCAAATCTCTTTCTCTTTTAAAAAGATAGGAAAGTCTAGTTTCTTACTGCCTCTGCCTTCTTTGTGGTGTATCTCTGTTAGTATCATTTTTGTCTCCAGTGATTCTTAATTCTAGTTTGGGCCTGGGCTTAGTTGCAAATCTCACAAATGCTCTCCCTAAAAATTATACTTTGTAGATACAGATAGATGTATTTTTTTCACATGCCATTTCACGGTGTTCAGGGCCCTCCCATTTCATCATCCTCAGATTAAAAGCCCTGCTGGGAGGTTTTAAATATATATAGGGTGTCTTGGGTGAAGCATGTGACGGTGGTTGTTCATTTTGATGTCCCATGATCCTCTGCATGTATTGTGTGAGGTAAAGAAATGCCCTTCCTATTGTTCAGGACGTGCCACTCATGGGCCTCAGAGGAATGTGAAGAAGGGGCTGGAGGGATGACCAGTGCTCCCCACACACCCCCTGGCAGTGCCAGGTACTGAGCCCAGCTTCCACGCCTAGCTGCATCCCCAGCCCTTTTCCTTTTTTATTTTGAGACAAGGTCTTGCTCTGCTGCCCAGGTGGGGCCCACGCCACAGGCCACCCACCTCAGACTGTGAAAGTGCTGGGAATCCCAGAATGCATCACCATGCCTGCCTTCAAATACTTGTATATAATACTTAATTGGTATTAGATAGTAAATTTTATAAAACTATATTGAATGTTTGTGAAGGGACTAATTCATAATATGCAATATAGTACATGTCCTATGTTTATGATGAATTGGCCAGAGGTGATTTTTAAAAAATATAAACATGTTTTTGTTCTTTTATCTTAGAAATAAATGCCAAGGGAGTTATCCTCAACGCATTTGAACGTTACCGCCTAAAGACATGCATTGACTTCAAGCCTTGGGCAGGAGAAGCTAATTATATATCAGTGATCAAGGACAGTGGGTGAGTAGAAGAGTGTCCGTCACTTTCCCTGTCCCTGAGACCCAAGCCCCAGCACCCACCTGTGAGAGGAGGAAGTGTATTTTGTCTCACATTTTCTGCCCAAACTTGGTGGCATGGTGTACGGATGTGGGGCAGGAGCCGTGGCAGCCAGGAAGCAGGAGCCGTGGACAGACACACACCCTCTGGGACAGGTCCCAGTGACTGGCCTGTCTTACCAGGTCCCACCCTGACATCACACGTGGCCGTGC